AAATATAATTGATGATATTATATCATTAAAGTTTATTACAAGGGTAGAACTTAAATGTTGAACCACACATAGGTAAAGATCTGAAGTAATGGTTGTGTTTACTCAATGGTGGGAATTTTTTCACAATGTATATGGAGATCAAATCATTACACTATACACTCAATAAATACCTCAATAAAGCTGAAAAAAATAGATGCAACTTTATGACTTTGTATTTCTCTGTACTTATGTTCTTGAGTAGTGTCTTTCCACACTATGAACTAGCCTACAGACTTGTCCTACAGAAATTAGCAAATCTGACAATAGATAGGTTTAATAAGAGCTTGCATACCAAGAGCTTGTAAAGCTTCCTCTTAGAAGCAAGCAGTCCCCTTATAAAGATACTTGAACTAGACTATAGAAATGAGAAGTCATGTAGAGAAAGACCCTGGAAGATGAGAAGTCATTCTGTATATTCTCACCCCAATTGATCTTCCAGCTAAAGACAGTTATATGAGTGACATCAGCTCAACCATAAAAAGGAGAAGAACTGCCCAGAAGAGCCCAGCCCACACATAAAATCATGAAAATAACAAATTTGGGGATAATCTTTCATGCTTTAATAGATAAATGAAAGTTTCATTAGATTATGTTTTTGGAAAAGAAATTTAAATTTAGCTTGGATAAATCAAGCTAAAGTTGAAAATCAAGAAGTAATCCTATAATAATATTAAAGTTCAATTGGAGCCAAAATAAATTAATGACTTTGAAATATAGCTCTTCTAGCTATCTTCAGAAAAATGACCTAAATAACAATATCATCCTAGTGCATAAGTTTGATGTGCATCTTAGGTACTTTGGTCTTTTTTTTAAAAAAGATATATTTTATTTATTTGTACAGAACTGGGGTACAGGCCAGAGATACAGGGGCGGTGAGAGGATTCACCAGAGGCAGAGTAGGAAGCAGAGCAGGCCAACTGATGAAGTACACTGCTGAGGGGAGCAGCAGGCGGGTCAGGAGAGGTCTGCCGCACCACGTGGGTCACCTCCCGGGCTGGTGGGGATCAAACTCATGCGGAAGTGGCTTTAGCTTCTTAGTGCTGTGCTTTAACCTGCTGCGCAACCAGGGAGGGTTCTTTGGTCTTTAATACCATGTTCCAATTATGTCACCTTGAAAGGATGGGAGCTTTCAAAGTGGGGAAGAAACAAAACTTGGGACAACAGGAAGCCTTTAAAAATACATGGAATGCCATCAAAATAATATAGAAAGCAGCTCAAAATAACTGAAAAACATAGGGCCCTCCCTGGTAGAGCAGACTGTTGGAGCACTGCACTGTGAAGCTAGGCCAAGCCATGGCCGCTTCAGTGACAGTTCAATCCCTACCCAGAGATGATCTACAAGTTGGAGGCGACCTCTCCTGTCTCGCCCACTGCTCCCCTCAGCAGTATACTTTGTCAGTCTGCCTGTTCTGTTCCCCACTCTGTCTCTGGTGAATCTTCTTGTCGCCCCTGCACCTCTGGTCTGTACTCCATTTCTGTATGCACAAATAAATAAAATCTTTTTTAAAAAATAGAAAAACATGACTTACCCCTGCACTCCATTCCCCATAAAACGATGGACAGGCTAATGAAATTCCTATTACTTTCCCCAAAGGCCATCCTCTAGACATTCATGTATTAGATACCAAATTCTTCATTATTGGAAACATTAAAGAAGTGTCATAACATTCCATCTGCATGTTTGAGAGACTTTCCTAAGTACCTGAAGTTGATCAAATCAGACCAAATCAATATTCTTAGAATTGGTCTCTTCAATATGTCCCACTCTGGTATGCAGATAACCTTGAACTGAAAACAAAATATCCCATGGAGACTAAGGAGAAACTCTCTTCTTTCCCTTAACCGCACCCCCCCCAACTTCCAAGTAATACCTGCTCCCACTATGACCTAAGGGGATATCATCCAGGTGTAGGTTTATTAATAAGCATTTCCTCAATCTAAGAATCACATCTTTCCTTTCTGAATAAATCTGAGGTCATCCTCTCCTTGTCATATAGAGTCCCTTTCCTTCTCTTTGCCATCCCAGGCCCATTTAACCTCATCCCTTGTTAAACTTCTTTCTACCCCATTGAAAGCAGGACCTACTTAGTTAATGGAGTTTCCCCATTATTTTAAAATTGTTTTCTCTTTGCTAACCAGTCTGATGCTGTTTTGATTATTCCACCACCAGAAAGAGCTCAGAAAGATAGGGAATTTTTTCCTGCATCCTGATATGCTATAGCCTGAGGCCTTGACAGAGTGCAAAATAAACTTGCAGCAGCAGAACCAAGTGAATGTTACCTTTTGAAAGTACTTGAAATAAATCTGTTATATCTTTGAATTTTAGGCCAATAGATGCAAACAATTACTGCTATTTGTTACCTTATTACTTTCAGTGCATCCAGTTGGCCCATTAGGGCAAGGATGGCTGTCAAAGACTTACTTATTCAGCCTTCGTGTAACACTAATCTAAAGAAGCAAGTTAGGAGGTTTGTTTGGTTATCCTCACTTAAAGCAAACCTGTATTATTGACTCTACTTTTGCTGACCTATCCAAAGAGATGACTAGAAAAAAGCAATTTACTTTGGAGATTTAAAAAAAAGGACCAAAACTAATGTTTTCCTTTCTTGCATTTGAGCTTCAGGCTCATAAATATTTAGTGACTTAAAAGGTAAATTATATGATTATTTGTATTAGTAGTTAAAAGTATGTCAATATATAACCATTATAATAATGTTGACAGTTATTCCTTTTGGTAACTCTTTTAATAGTCATTTTAATTTCTTTTAAGAAGCAAGTAGAAGAGTACAAATACATGAGGCATGATTTTAAAAACTGAAAAATACTTAAAACTGAAACTACAGAAAAATCAGCTACAAAATCTGAATGTACATACCTTTAAGCATATAGTAAAGGTCTAGATCCAGCATAGGTATATACATGCAGTACAGACTGATACACACCCAAGTCTCATTCATGCCAACCTAAATTTAAACTAATCCTACTTAAACTTGGGTTGGGCCAACTAGAAAGGTATGGGTGCTTACAAGAAGTACTGAGAGTTACAACATACGTAATTACTTAATACAATATCTATGATGTTTGTATAAGATACACTCAAACTTTTTAAGCTAGTTTATTAATAAATATCTAATTGCCCGATCTTTGATGTGAGAGCATTTTATATTAACCCTCTCACCAACAATAGTTGGAGTGACCATATTAACTAATAAAATGATTTATATTAAACACAATAGGCCTGGCTTCTTTTGGTATACTTACTCAAAAACTTTTTATTACTTTGAGAAAAAGAATGAGAGACAGAAACAGAAAGAGTGCTCATGTTAACTATGGAAAAGAGGGAAAGTGCATTTCCAAGATTTCTATGCACTATGACCTATACATATTTCCCTTATGTTTTGTATCAGCTGTTTATATACTTTTGTTTTCCTCAAAAGTATCTTTTCATTTCCCATAAGACTTTAAGAAAGCTTAAGGAAGGGGTATGGTTAGGCAAAAGGCTATATTGATTTGAGTACCCAAGGACTATTATCCAGCAGTCCCAGAGGGGACATGAAAGCACTAAATGTTACATTTCAACTGAAGTCTTCCTATTTTAGTCACTTGGGACCTAATGATCCTCAACTACCAGAATATAATAACTGCTCTTAGTTATAATGACCGAGAGATATCAGGAAAGGATGGTATCATCTTCAGTATACTCTGTTCCTACACGGCAAGGAAGAAAAACTTTAGAGCTGTTTTTGTTGAAAACAGCTAGCAATAATGCATACTAATATTTAAAAGACTAGCTTTAGTTATCTAGGATGCATTATCCAGAACATTCCCCACTAGTACTGATGATTTAAATCATGTTGTAGCTTATTTTTTTTAATCTAATGTTTAAGTAGGACCTTTTAGCAGTTCTGGAATATAGCTCTGCATAATTAGAATGAACTAGAGTACTTTTTTCACAGCTACCTGTTATATTTGATTTGGTTAAAGCATGGTGACGTGAGATAAGTTGCCTGGGACCTTAGTGACTACCTTTTGCTTAGTTTCTTGTTTGCAAGGTAGTCCCTGATTTGAAATAAACCCAACATTACTAACTGCTACAATTAACTGCGTTTAGGCTGGCTGGACAAATCCTGCAGTCTTTCTGGAGCACCAGAAGGCAGACACTCAAAGCGCTTGAGGTGTCCACATGAGGTTAATACAGTAGTCTTGGCACACCTGAAATTTCATCTTGTTGGTTTTCAGCTACTGGGGAGGGACAAGTGGAAAACTGTAGATCTGCTCTCATATTTTATCCCATGGGTCGGAGAAACTTTTGCTGTAAAGGGCCAGATAGCAATTTTTCAGACTTTGCAGCCCATCCTTCCTCTTTGGCAACCCCTCAACCGTGCAGGTGTTAAATGCACACACATACGTGTGTGTAAGTGTGTGTGTTACAAGGCAGGACAGCAACCCGGAAAAAAACCTAAAGGAAGCGAAGGAATGCACGTGGCTGTGCTGTAACAGCGTTATTTACGGACCATGGAATTGGAATGTCATCTTTTTCCACATGTCACAAAGACTACTGTAGCTCGTGTGCGCATCTGAAAATGTACGAACCGCTCTTGGCCAGCTAGCCACACAAAACCAGGACACGTGGACCCGCGGGCCGCAGTTAGCCCAGTCACGTTACCACACAACTTTTGGTAAAAGAAGAAACTAGCAAGCTGGTGCGGCGGTGCCTCCGAGAGCCCTGGTGCCCACTCGGCAGCGTCCCACACTTTGGGCCCCACTGCCCGGGTCTCTGAATGCCAGGGCAGGACAGTCGCGGGACACCTCTCCGCGCGCAGGGTCAGCACCTGGAACTGTGGCGCTTGGGGGCAGTAGAGAACTGGCCAAAAGGAGGCCGGCGTCGGGCGGGTCCCGGAACGCCGGGGGTCCCTCAGAAGTGTCCCCTAAGTCGCTGCCCATTCGGGGCGGCCACTCACTTGGAAACGCCGGCACGAACGAAGGCCATAGCAACAGCGTCACTAGGACTAAGGGCTTCATAGACATCGCCCGCAGCACTCCGCCATGCGACGGGAACGTCCAGGGGCCACCAGGCCGGGTACTTTAGGGCCAAAAGGAGAGGGAGTCGGTAGCCGACCGTCCTACCTCAGGTCCCAGGGCGCCCTGCAACGGTTGTCCCCTGCGCGCATGCGCAGCGAAGCTCGAACGGCCTGGACCCGCCCCCTTCGGGGGCAGCGCCGGTGCGCATGCTCGTTCTGCCTTAGACGCTCTGGGATCCATCACTATGGGCCTCGGGGTGTCTTAACACCCCGCAGGCTGTGGTGAGGCCTGCGAAGTGGCGGGGCCCATCCAGGGAAGCTGGGCTTATGGTAGCACGATCCCTAAAACATGGTCCCCGCGCGTAAAGAGCTAAGAATGTAAGAGACTTGCAAATAACCTAGCCATCATAACAGATGGAGGACGCATTAGGCACGATGGAGCCCAGAAGAGCGCACCCCCATCCAAAAGAGCTAAAGGGAGATTGCCGGGATGGAAGAAAATTTCTTCGAACGCTCCCAAGAACTGGGCATAGTTACTAGTTATTCTAGTTGTAAGATCCAGGGGTGGGGTAAAGATGGGGGTGGGGGACAGCTATTGAAGGTAAAGGAAGAAAAGTAGAGAGGCATTAAAGCCACATTAAGGGGCATGGTGTCTTAGTTTTTCCCAGAAGATTGCAGGCTTGTTTTTTTGCTTTTTGAAAACCAAAACTAGTTGGCTTTTCAATGGAGGATAGATCTATCTATGGAGGATAGATCATTAGGGATAGAGAAAGGTGTGACGCTAAAGGGATAGCTTGATGGAGATTCTTAAGGCTGATGGATAGGGGTAGTAGCCTCAGAATCTATACACATGTTAAAATTTAAAGCTGTACACTACAATGAGTCAGTTTTCTGTATGGTAATTTTATGTTTAATATCTCTGACTCAGGAAGCAAGAAACTCAGATTTTAATCTGGGATAATAGAGAGATCCTGCAAGGATGTGAGCCAGGAAAAGTGCAGTTAGATTTAAATTTCAGAAAGCTTGCTCTGTTTGCAGCGTCAAGAGTGAGTAGCAAGAAAGCAAGACTAGAGACAGGGAGCCCAATTATGAGACTTCTCTGATAATCCCACAAGGCACCAATTAAAAAAGGCCTGAATTAATGGAAAAGGTTGGGCAGATTTGAGAGGTTATCGGTGGCTAGAATGAACAAGATGGGCTTTTGAATGTGAGGAAAGGAAGAAGATGATGCTCAGATTTCTAGCTTAGGCACCTTGCATTTGCGGTGGCAAACAGGTGGAGTATGTGGAGGAAGATTATAAATTTAGGTTCAACATGTTCTATTGAGATGACTTGAGACTGTACTGACTTGGGCACTCCGGTAAGCAGATAGATGTAGGATTCTGGAGAGAGTTGAGATGGAGAGAGAGCTTTAGAAGTGGGGATGAATGAGAGTGCCTAAATAGAGTTTGAGAGTGAAAAGGTCAGTGTGCCTACGACAGATGCCTGGAAACATAGGTGGGCTAGAAAGAATGCACCTGCAAAGGAGACGAGAAATGGGGAGAGAAAAACCAGAGAAACTCCAAGGAAGAGGAAGAATCCAAGACTGTCAGATGCTTCTGAGAAGTCAAGCAAGAGAAGACTTTGATTTAGCCACAAGATCTTTGGCAGAAGTAGCTTCTGTGGAGTGGTTTGGGCAGAAGCCAAACCACAGTGAGTTGAGGAATGAGTAAGAGTTGAAAAAGTGGTGACAGCTGGTATAGACAACTTTTCAAGGTAGGTCCAATAGCCTGTAATTTGCTCTACCAGTACTTAATACAAATGTAGCAACT